CATTATGTACATATTTGACGTGGTTTATGAGGTCAGAAGAGCTATACTTTATTATGTCCAAAAGATCTATAATTTACAAAAAGTCCTAGGCAGCATCGCACACATAGGGGACTTATGATGAATGAGAAGAGAAGCCTAGAATCTGTCACATGCACAGAACAATTGTGGAAAATGGGATTGGGGATCCAGACACCACTATATACAAATGAAACCCATGAAGAATGAGAAGGGAAGCGTAGAAATTGTTATATATATGAGTCTAGGTGAGAAAGGAGACCTACAGAAAACATCCCCCAAATCCCATGATTAATGTGGGATGCTAGAAACCATCATAATCTTTGGAAGTAATGGTAGTGAAGGAATTTCAAGACTTAGAAATCTCTGGCTCAGCGCCTGTGGCTTAAGCGGCTAAGGAGCCAGCTGAGCTGGTGGGTTCGAATCCAGCCTGGGCCCGCCAAACAACACTGACGGCAACCAAAAAATAGCCGGGCGTTGTGGCAGGTGCCTGTAGTCCCAGCTACTTGGGAGACCGAGGCAGGAGAATCGCTTGAGCCCAGGAGTTGGAGGTTGCTGTGAGCTGTGATGCCACGGCACTCTACCCAGGGAGACAGCTTGAGGCTCTGTCTCAAAAAAAAGAGAAATCCCCTCACCCAAGAGGTACATGGGGGAAGGAGTAGGGCCCTAGAACACACCATGCCCAAGAGCCCCACCATGAGGGGACCTGGAAACAATCACTGACAAAGGAGACATTTCGAAAATGGACAGAGTGGAGGCTGGCACCCCTGCAAGACAGATAATTAGAAGGCTGTTTTGGAGCATTGTATTCTGACTCCCCATCCTCCCTGGCTCCTCCTCATGCAGTCTGGCTCGGATGCCCTACTTCCTGGTAGTTATTAGTGAGGATGTGGGTAGCACCTAGCATCTGCCCTGCCCTCTCAGTTCTTGATTGTGGGGTCAGTGATGGATACAGCCGTGGGAGCCCTCCACCCTGCACGAGTCCTCCCCCGTGTCTCCCCATGACTACTGAGGCCCTGCTACCTCTCCAGAAAACCTTTCCAGAGCACCCCTTGCAGGCCCTAAATCTCCCATAAGCCCCTAAGCCCCTACTCAGCCTCTGGCTCTAGAGCCTCTTAAGGCTACTGTCAGGATGGGCATGAGCAGAGCTGAGGGGTCACGTAGTCCCAAACGAGCCACACCCTCTGCCTCCTCTAGGCCCTCACTAGCCTCTCTTGGAGCCCTGGGTCTGGGAGCACATTTTCCACGTAGCCCAAGAGAAGCAGGAGAGGCTAGGTCAAGGCAGAATTAACCTGGGCAGTCCTTCCCAACATGGGAACTCCTGGCAGTGGAACAGCATGCCTGGGATACCCTAGACCAGTCCTCAAACCCAAGACCACTTGTTGGAGGGGTTCCCCAAGAGGTAGCAGGGCTCCTGCCCATCCACTTCCTCCCCATCATCCACCTGCATTTCTGCCCCAGCTTGCTGCCTGCCAGGGAGGGGACCCGCTGAGCCGGGGATTGCATGAGGCTTTGGGGGCTAGAGGGCGGGCTCTGTTGGGGACAGGTGCAGATGGGGTCCTGTGCTGGCAAATTCCCTGAGGGCTCCTATATATAGGCCACCTACCAAGTCACCCTTAGCACATCTTTCAGAAACAGTGGCCGTCTTATGGTGCAGCAGTGACACCTGGTGGTCATGATTATGCAATGCAGGATCTGGAGTGATGGGCTAAGGCAGCCCATCTTGATTAGACTAAAGCTTGCACCCCTTATTCAGGCAAGGAAACTGAGACCCAACTCTGCAGAGAGAATCCTTTGCAAAATGGGAATAGGAGCCCAGGCTTTTGAGTTCCCAGGGCCAGATAACCAGCTACTATTCACCAAGCATCTCCTCTGTAGGTACCAGGCCTAGAGTTGGGACTCAGATGTCATTTGGATATGACCTCAGGGTGATCACAGTGAGGTGGGGTGGGAATAAGAATGGAGGGAGATGCTTTAGTGTCCTCCTGGAGGGGACAGATTTAAGCTTGAAGGTGCATTAACCAGGCACAGGATGTTAAGGAGGAGGAGAGAGCACAATAAGTGCAAGGGGTCTGGGGTGTTTGGGGAGCTACAGATACTTGGAGTGGGACAGGAAGAGAGTGGGGCAGAGGCCATAGAGTCTCTCAGGATTTGGAGGCCATATTAAGGACTTTGAACTTTGTTCTATGAGCAGCAGGGAATCAGTGAAGTCTTTTTT